GAGCCATCTCTAGTTATATAGTACCAGCAGCGGCAACACAGACAGCAACAGCAGTAGCAACAGCACCTAAACCAGCAGAAAAAAGACCAGTACTTCGACTCTCACCTATCCTCCCCCATCTCCACCACTACTACCACAATCACACTGCTGAGGCATCCTCACCTGAGTCACTGACACTCGCCCAGTTTGATTTACGACTCCAATATCCCCGAAACTTTTACCATCCTTCTAAAATTTCTTCTAAACTTATTTACGAGATAAAGAGAAGTGAGGAGAGTACTGTCAGGAGGCAGAAGACGGCATTCTTAAGGAGGAGTTTTACTGTGTAGTGAGTGGTAGATCCTTTACTGGTGGATGGAGTCCAAGGATGGGTGGCCTCTGTCTTGAAATGCGTGTGTTCGGTATTTTGTCGTATCGGAACCTTCCATTGTGTTAGTCTACCTCTCGCATGTTACCTCCCCATCCTAGGTCTTTAGTATCAGCATCTCCCCTCCCCCACCCCTTTCCCAATATCAACTCCCTCGTATCATTTCTCTCCCCACTATCAGTCTTACTCCTGACATGAGCTCGCCCCGCCATCTTTCTCTTCCTTATCGTTGGTTATACCTGATCTGATCCCACTGAAGGTGTTTCGGTCCAGGGCCAACTGAAACGTCATCTAGAATTTATCCTGTGAAATCTGGTTGCTTTTGAATTGTTGCAGCTTCGATACTGACTGTTATTCTTGCACTCTGTCTACCCTACAGAGCGGACACCCTCGCTGGAGATCCTGCCGCCGCACCTCGACGACAACTTCCCCAACCTGAAGGCGGCGCCCATAGCTGGCCACGAGGTGACGCCCTCCAGGAACCACCTAACAACCTCCACCCCTCCGCCCACTACCACCCTGCCACCCAGACGGTGCCAAGCTCTAGACGTAACCCTGTGTGCCAACCTGCACCACAACGTCACCACCTACCCCAACCTGCTGGGTCATCCCGACGCACGTACCGTAGAGCGTGACATCATCTCCGTCAGGTGAGTTTCTGATGGTACTTGTCTGAGCGGCAGGTTGACTTCTTAATACTGTCAGAGATCGTGTGCTGTGAAAATTTACTTATCTGTCAGTGTGAAGGTGACAACTTGCCGGTTGTATTGAATATTAGTATCCTTGTGATAACTTGAGGAAGCCTCTTCTGACTGGCTTTAAATTTTCAACGCCCCTTTTTAACTGTATTAGAAACTTATTCCTTGCTGTGTCTCATGTACGAAACTGTTCTGCATAACACATGCGAGTTTAGTGTTTGCTTTATATATAATTCAGGCACGACCCAGGGCCTCAGAAGAGAATAATAGGTACTAGAGAGGATCTCATAGACTGTGAGTGTTCAACAATTTATCAGCATAGCACAAAACTGTGACTTGCAAATAAGTATTTAAAATACACACCTCGGTAATAAATAGTTGAGAATAAGAAAGAACGTGGCCCTGCGTAAGTATGCGTTGTTATGCAAAGCCCATGGATGACTCGAGCAGTCCTGGATGGTATGTGAGAGACGTGCATGATCGGGAAGTGGGAGATGAGACTGAAACACCCAGATACATATTTACTGTTAGGTCAGTGGTTCTCAAACTGGGGTCATGGCCCCTAAGAGGGTCACAGCAAGATTTTAGAGAGGCCACGTTCCAAGAAAATTCTGAGAAATCTGAAGTGAATCGAAGCACTATTTATTTTAACCTGGCGGAAGAGAATTTCCCTCGTCGCTTTGTTTTGATTATGTCGATACATTTTAATATTTACATTTTACGATGTTAGCCGCTTGTAACGTATAAACTCAAGACTTCACGGGTTGTGCTCCTGTCTGTGTGATTAGCGTTGGGCTGAAGTGAAATGCTCCGCATACGTGTGTGTTATTACTTTCCAAATGGTAATCAACTTCAGTAGTGTGTGTGTGTGTGTGTGTGTGTGTGTGTGACACTGTCGTATACGATGTACATTTATTTAAATACTGAAGAAAGGGAACACGGGGATTTTGAGGGTTGCTTAAAAGGGAGTCGAAGTAAAAATGATTGAGAACCATTGTGCTGAGGCAACAGGTGTTAGGAGATTTCCCAGTATGTCTGAACTACGCCCAAAATCGAATGTTCCTTCTCTCTCTTGCTCACTCCCTCACCATCGTCATTACCGTCCCCTACAGGGAGGTAATAGACTCTGAGTGCCACCCGCTGGCGCAGGAGTTTCTATGCGAGCTGCTGCAACCAGACTGTCGTCGGGCGCAGAGCATGAACCCCAGCGGGGTGTTCGAGGATCACATCATCAGCCCCTGCAGGGACTTCTGCGAGGAGGTGATGAGTACCTGCGGCAGGCGCCTTCCCCCGCACCTCCGCCTCGCCATAGACTGTGCCAGCTTCCCTGTGCTTGACGGAGGCCACGAGTGTACGGCCAAGCCAGGTAATACTTGACGGGTGCCATGAGTGTACAGACAAATAAGGTGAGACACTGCCTCCTTATCTTTCTCTCCCCCTCCCACCTCCCTTAATCTCCTCTCCCCCTCCCAACCTCCCTTTCTGCACCTTCCACTCACACTAACTTACTCTCCCTTTTGTTTTCTTAATTCCTTACCTACTCATACCAACATTTTTTCCTCTCCCTCCTTCCCTTTACTCCCTATCTTCCTCTTTACCTACACTCTCTCTGCCTCCCTTTTCCCCAACCCTCCTTACTCCCTACCTGCATTTATTTCCACCCCTCCCTACCTCATTCCTTCTCTATGTTCCCTCCCTCACTTTATTCTCTCCCTTCCTCCTGCTGTATAATCCTCCGGGTTTAGCGCTTCCCCCTTGATTATAATAATAATAATCTCCCTTCCTCCTTATGTTTCCAACATTATGTTCTTAAGAATCACTGTCTTACCTCCACCATCCTTTCCATCCTCCTTCCCTTATTCTCGTCCCACCTTTCCCATGTCAACACTGCTACTAAATTTCCATCAAATTACGCAGGCAGTGTAACCGTCCCACCGCCCCTCCCATATTACCATCCTCCACGCATCCCTCCTTTCCTACTGTCTTCTTTCCCTCGTTCTTCCTTCCAGCTTCCTTTCTAACTCCCCACCTCCTTCCTTCACTTCTCCTTTCCCTTTCTTTATCTTCCTTCTCCCCTCTCAAAATCCCCCTCCATCCCTTCCCTCCATCCGTCTCTCCCTCCACAGCTGGGGACGGAACTCCACCATGATGGTCGGGTACGATGTGCATTCATTTACCAGGTAAAAATCCAGACATAAAGAGGATTTACTTTTCTTTTCAATGGTGGAGAAGTTTGGTGCTTCAGTTCCATTAATGTTTGACACAGAGAAAAGACGGGAATTCCTTATGGCCCAGTGAGCGTGAAGATCTGTCGTCCAAGTTGTCTCTGGTGGTTTGGGGGGGTTTTTGGTTGTTGGTATTGGTGGTATTTGGGTAGTGGTGGTAGTTGTGTGGTTGGGGTTTCTTGGGGGCAAAGGTAGTATTACCTTTCCCAATAAAAAGGGAAAAATTGGGACACGGGAACAAGTCCCCAATTTTAAATAAATTTAAAACCTTTGCAAATACCGTACTCGACTTGAACACTTCGGGGGCTGCCCTTGGTACGGGAAAACCCTGATTGTGGTTCTTGGAAAAGCCAGGACAACGGGAGGGCCCAAATGGGCCCCAAAGGGGTACATCTGTGCTAGGGGTAATGGCAGGTGTATAGTAGCAAGAGTCGAAAATTTCTTTTTCCACTGTTTTTATTAATTACCCTCTGCTTTTTTCTTTTCAGGGGGAAAATATTTCTGCTTTTTCTGTCGATCTTTTCCTTTCTCTCTCTCTCCTTTCCTCCCTTTTCCCATCCCCCTTTTCCCATTTTTCCTTTTCCCCCCACCCTTTTCCCTTCCCTCTTCTTCCCCTGGTTCGGGCCCTCCGGGGCGTCCCCACCCAATGTGGTTTCAAAAAATTTTACCCCCGCCACAATTTACCCCGCTCACCCACTTAGGGTTTTCTGCACTCTTTAAAATAAACCCCCAAAACTTTTATTTCCTCCCAACCCCTTTAAACCCTAAAGCTAAACCCACCGCAAACCCACCAAACCCCATCCCCCCCTCCCCCCAAAACCCCCCCTTAAAACGCCTCATCAAGCTGGGTCCCCCCCCCCCCACTCCGGGAAACCCCCCATCCCATTTCAAAAGCCCCCCCCGTTTTTTTAAATTTGGGGTCACCCCTCGATACTTTTTACATTTCCCCATCCCCATCTCCATTATAAAGGAACTTTTTCCTTGAAAATTTTGGGGAGAAATCACAAAACCGCTTGGAAATTTATACTCTTTTTCCCAGTGGTGTTCTGAAATACGGGAAAATGTTACTTTTTTTTACTGTGATCTTATTTTTGGGGTGTTTATTATATATTATTATAAAATTATATATAAAATATTTTATATATATATATATATATATATATATAATATAATAAAAAGGGAAAATTTTTGGGATAAAAGGAAAATAGAAGCACAAAAAAAGAAGAGGTAAAGGTTTAAAACTAAAAGAGGGGGGCAGTTGGGGAAAGGGAATATAAACAGCAAAAAAAAATTTTGGGGAAAGGATAGAGGGGCTAATAAAGAGCATAGGAAAAGGGGGTCGAAGGGGTTGGGGGTGGGTTTTAAAAAATTGTATTTTTAAGGGGTGTTTCTTGCAAAAGTTTGGGGTTTACAGGAAAGGGGTTTGGCAGGAGGGAAGAGGAGCATTGGTGGAATAAATATGAAAAAGAGAGTAGTAAGGGAGAAAAAAAAAATAAAATTTTTTTTTTTAAAAAAAAAAGGAGGGAAGAGTATATGGAGAAAAAGAGAGAAGTTAAGAGAGGGGGTTTAAAATTTTTTTTTGGGGGGGGGGGGGGTTTTTTTTTTTTGGGGGGTTTTTTTGGGGGGGGGGGGTTTTTTTTTTTTTTTGGGGGGGATTTTTTTTTTTGGGGGGGGGGTTTTTTTGGGGGGGGGTTTTGGGGGTTTTGGGGGTTTTTGGGGTTTTTTTTGTTGGGGGGAAAAAGGGGGGGGGGGGTTTGGGGGTTTTTTTTGGGGGGGGGGGTTTTTTGGGGGGGGGGGGGGGGTTTGGGGGGGGGGGGGCGGGGGGGGGGTTTTGGGGGGGGGGGGGGGGGGGGAAAGGGGGGGGGGGGGGGGGGGGGTGGGGGGGGGGGCCGGGGGGAAGGGGGGGGAAAATTTTTGGGGGGGGGATTTTGGGGTTTAAAAAGGGTTTTTTGGGGTGGTGGGGGGGGAATGTGGCAGATGTTGCAAGTGTATGGTGTAGGAGGTAGGTTACTGAAAGCAGCAAAGATTTTTTCGAGGATAGTGGGGGCCAAGTTGAGTTGTGGAAAAGGGGGAAATTTTTTCCCCAGTAAAATGGGCCCCTTAGACAAGGATGTGTGATGTCACCGGGGTTTGTTTAAAAAATTTTTATAGAGGGGTTTTGAAGAGAAGTAAAGCGGGGTCTTGGCAAGGGCGTGGAGTTAAAAGAAAAGAATCACACACAAAGGGGGAGTTGTCAAGCTGCTCTTTGCTGTGACACTTGCTCTTGGGAGATTTGAAGAGAAGTTGCAGAGATTGGTGGATAAATTTGTGGGGTGCCAAAGAAGAAAATTAAGGTGAATACAGGAAAAAGGGAAGGTTTGAGGATAAAAAAAGATTAGGTGGAAAATTTAAATCAGATTGGAGGGAAGAGTAGGAGGAGGGGAACGTTTTTGATTTGGGGGTGGGGGTGCAGCAGTGGGGCTATGAAGATGAGGTGAATCATAGAATTGATGAGGGAAAAAGAGTGGTGGTGCATTGGGGGGTCTGTGGAGACAAAGAAAATTTGTCCTGGAGGCAAAGAGGGGAAAGTATGAAGGGGATAGTTTTTCCAACGCTCTTTATGGTGGAAACGGGGTGAAAGAAGTTTCAGGAGGAGAAGGCGGGGCAGTGGAATGTATGCTGAGGGCAATGGTGGTGTGAATATAATGCGAGAATTCGTAGTTTGGGAAATTTGGAGGAGGTGCGGATTACCAAAAATGTTGTCCCGGGGTGAGGAAGGGTTTTTGAGGTGGTTCGGCATGTAAGAAATGGAGCGAAACGAATGACTTCAAGATGTATCATTGTGTGGGGAAGGGGGGTAGGGGCGGCCCCAGGAAGGGTTGGAGGAGGGGTAAAGGGGTTTTTGGGTGGGGCAGGGGGGTAAAATTTCCCAAGGGCAGGCGGGGAGAGTTTTGAAATGGTGGGGGAATTAACAAATTTGGGTTTTTTTTAATTGGGGGGGTGCGGTTAAAATTTTGTGGGGGCGGGGAATTTAGGGGGTTGGATTAGGAAAGGAGGCGAAGATTTTGATTTTCCTGGGTGGGGAAGGGGGAAAAGGGTGGCCCGGGGAATTGGGGGGAGGGGTGGTTTTTGTTGCGTTTAAAAACGGGTGGGGTTTTTAAGGATTGGGGAAGAAAAAAGGTTTTTTTTGGAGTGGGGGAGTGTGAAAGTTTTTTTTTCGGGCCACCCGGCCTTTGGGGGAATCGGCCGTTTGAAATTTAAAAAAAAAAAAAAATTTAAATTATATAAATTTGAATTTTTTTTTATTTTAATATTATAATAAAAAAAAAAAAAAAATATATAAAAAAATTTAAAAATTTATATTTTAAAAATTTTAAAAAAAATTTTTTTAAAAAATATATAAAAATATTTTAAAAAAAATTTAAAATAAAAATATATAAAAATATAATATAATATATATATAATTTATATATAATATATAATATATTTATATAAAATTATATAAAAATATAAATAAAATTATATTTTTAATATTTATAATATATATATATAAAATAATATATTTATAATAAATATATTTAAAATTTTATTATATTTATATAATATATAATTTATATAAAATATTAATATATTTATATAATATTTATATATAATAAAATTTTTATTTTTTAATATATTTTTATATATATTTTTATATTTTAATATATTATATATATATATTTTTAAATTTATATATATTTTTTAAATATATAAATATTTTTATATATAAATATATATATAATAAATATTTTATAAAATTTATATAATATATATTTTAATTTTATATAAAATAATTTTATAAAATATATATATATATATATATATAATATAATTTTTATTTATATAAAAAATTTTTAATTAATATATATATAAATATATATTTTTAATATATAATTATTTTATATATATAATATATAAAAAATATTAATAATATATTTATAATAAAATATTTTTCTATATATATATTAAATATATAAAAATATAAAAATTTAAATTTATATAAAATTTATTTTAAAATTTTTTATATATAAAAAATTTTATTTTATATATAATTTTTATATTAAAAATTTAAAAATATAAATAAAAAATAAATATATATAAATATATATAAAAATATATATATTTATATATAAAAAAAAATTTATTTTATATATAAATAAAATAAAATTTTAATATTTATTAAAAAATATTT